ACTAGTGACAGATATAGGTAAGCGTGCCAGCTGGCTGACCTTGGCAGATCAAATATCCGTAGTTAGAATGCTAAACCAAACATTTTCAAGAGACTTTCGATCTAAACAATAAAGTACTAAATCATAATATAATGTTTCCGTTCAACTGAGTCAATCTCTGACTGCGTTGGTCAAAACAAGAACATTCGTGTGGGTCGTCAAAAGCAAGGTCAAGGAACAAACTAAGCGGTTAGCGGTTGCAGTCACCCGTTACGGAGTTCCAATGGCCTGTTTTTATTGTTTCCAATTGTATAGAACGGTCGCTGAAAGCAGAACCACATTAATAAAACTAAGAATAATCATTCCTGCAATTTTTTATCTATAATTATCTCCCAAAATCAAAGTAACTAGATTTTTTTCACGAGGTTCTGTACGATAAGTGATCAGTATCCAGTGTTTCACCCCACTCAAGAGGTTACTTTTATGCGGAGGCTACATAGATTCACATGTCATATGTACTTTAAACAGTGTTTCTTGCGTCACGAATTTAGAAGAGAAAAATTCAAATCTCACCGTACCCTGCCTTTCTGTAAAATGCACGCACCACGTATTTATTTTTGGCTCAATCAACTGTCACGTGTAAACCCTTTGCCAACCTATTGTACTGAATTACAAGCAGCCCGCGCTCACAGCACGACAAAATACACCACGCCTTTCTCCCGCTTTGCAAGTTTGGACCACCTGGCATCAACGGAAAATTTTCTTACATTGAACTGCTACACTCAGTTTGCTCTACAACCGTGGAAAGGAGATGGCAGACCACATCCGTTTGAAAAATTTATGCTCGGGGCTCTTCAAAGTTTATTTTAGTTATACTGTTATGCAAAAACTGATGTCACGTTCGGAAACACATACCAAAACAATGAACTGCAGTAAAAAATTGATCAACCGTGAGTCAGGCCCACTTGTGTTTGTTAAAAATTTATTCCAGACATGTAAAAATGGAGTTTTCTGCTTTCTTAAAGTGGGATGCAGCAACCTGAAATTTACCTGATAACAAGCACGAAAATAATGAATACTTCAGTGCTAAGCCTAGTTTGCAATCTCGTTATCACTCGACTACGTCTGGTGTTTCCTTCTTCTTTCGTCCTCTAGCCGCTTCCTTACTGCCTTTACAACAGAACAGAGCACAGTCAAGGCCTCTCTATTAATTAAATATCATATTAAGCGGTCAACCTGCATTCAACGTGGTTGACCACTAAATGCAGGTTAGATTGTATTTTTTGTTTTCAGAGAAGGACTGAACGGTATTTCTTACATAGAGTATGTAACGACCACGAGGTTTTTCGAGGTGTGTGTTTTTAGTCGTCGAATGCTAGAGCGACCATCTGCGTGTAGAGTTTAGTTTCGAGGATTAAAGTGTTGAGAACAGTCAATTGTCGGCTGAGAGATATTTTCTTACATTGTGTTGCATGCCTCAGGCGTCAACAAGAGCAAACTGCTATTCTCTTTCCACCTACACAAACATGGGTGCTATACAACAGGAAATCCAGCAGCGCACGTAAGCAAACAAGGATAAATCAGCGGCACTTTTTGGAGAAAATTCGTCAAGTGAACGTAAACTAAAAATTTCCACAAGGAGTTCATGTTCTCTAATGACTGCAAATGCCAAGTACGATACGTTTTCAAGTTGCGCTAATCAGTAGGTAACAAGATAGTTTCTCGGACAAACAAAGCAGGTCTCTTTTGTGATACTACAGTACAGCCCACGCAAGCCTGACCCAGCCAACGCGAAGAAAATCTCCTCTCCATGCACCATCGAGTAAAAAAAGTTTTCTGAAGAAACCTTTTGGGGTCTCGATTTCTTGCATGTTCTTAAAAAAGTGCAATGTTATTCGACATGTTACTTTTTCGATGCAAATTAACCTAACTGAGTCGTTCTTAACCATAGAGTTAAGAATCCAATACTTCATTTTTTCATAATAGTTTTAGGCAAGATAGTATTTATCTTGCGGTAGCGAGCTTAACTCTGTCGCAATCCAATACATTGCTTAATCTAAAAAACACTTCATAATATGAGAGCAAGAGCAGCTAACGCTGAAGTGATAAAGTCATTGCAAACCAGGCTTATTATGAAAGTATTTATTATTTTCCTGCTGGTCATAAGGTACATTTCAGGTTGCTGCATCCGACTTGAAGAAAGCAGAAAGCTCCATCTTCACATCTTACAAACTCAAGTGGGCTTGACTCACGGTCGATCAATTTTTTACTGTAGGTCATTGTTTTAGTAAGTGTTTCCGAACGTGACACCAGTTGTGGCGTAACAGTGCAACTAAAAATAAACTTTGAACAGCCCCGAGCACGAATTTTCAAACGGGTGTAGTCTGCCATCTCCTTTCCAATGTTGTAGAGCAAACTGAGTGTAGCAGTTCAATGTAAGGAAAATTTCCGTTGATGCCACGTGGTGCAAACTTGCAAAGCGGGGGAAAGGCGTGGTGTATTTTTTCGTATTGTGAGCGTGGGCTGCTTGTAATTAAGTATAAGAGGTTGGCAAAGTGATAATACGTGACAGTTGATTAAGCCAACAATAAATATGTTATGTGTGTATTTTACAGAAAGGCAGAGTACAGTGAGATTTGAAGTTTTCTCTTCTAAAATATAGTGACGCAAGAAATACTGTTTAAAGTACATGTCACATGTGAGTCTTCGTAACCTCCGTATATACGTAATATAATAAATATATAATATATAAATGTCCTCAAACGCGCAAACTGTATACTACTTTCCATATGATTGAAATAATTTGACATTAATTATGTTATGACATTCATTGGTTATAAATGTAGTTTAAATCTTCTCCCCCTGATGAATACTGAAATACTGTAAAAAATAATTGAAATAATTCCCAGAAATAAAGACGGTTTTGATTCAAAGAAATCAACACACAGCCCACGCGGTGGTGTCATTGAAAAACAGGAAGTCTAAGGTAACTGTTTGTCAGAAAATTTTGTTAGTAAAAGAAATATTTGCTATTTAAATTTTGCTCACTTATCAGTGTGAGACATTCTCAGAAAAACAGGAAGTTGATAATATAATACAACAGGGACTTTCCCGAGGAAAGGAGTCGTAGCGTTGCTATTGTTTTGAGGTCATATCGATAGTCGCATGATTTTTTCGACCAATCAGCAAGTTTCTGATGCATCGTACATAAGATCAGCTGTTGATGAGTTAAAGATACCCAGATACAATGCACATGTTTGAGCTTAATTTCAGTAAATACAGTCTAACGAACGCTCAAAACAATTGACGTCAGAGCCACACCTACTGCTTTCTTTGCAAATGGTTTAAATTCGCGTGTGAGCAAAGTCAAACACACTGTTCGAGATAAGTTGAAGGTGTTGCCAGTTCTCCCAGTTTTTGCAAAGCGGAAAAAGCCATGAATCGCCAACAATCCAAGTTGCTCTACCATCGCCTCATGCTCCCCGACTGGCTGCGTAAGAATGCAGAGTGGAACTCTCCTAAGGAAGGGAATGAGTTGAATCTCGACATTTTACCCGACTCCTCCGACTGGGAGAACATCTTGCGAGTTCCTCTCATTCCCAGCGGCGAGCTGAGTAATGAGGAGGACATCACTGTCAAGATGAAGGTGGGCGTCGTTTTGCCC